ACATAGAACAAAGTTTCATTGCGCGACGTCCTTTCGCTACTCTTTGCTTTTCCCGTTCCGTTTCGCAGTGCAGATCAGACACTGAATCTCCGTTCTTCTGGGGAAGTGAATCCTGCCAAGCATTCCGGAGATGTCTCCGCACGACGCATTTTGTATCGAGAGCATGACTCTTAGGTAAATCAATGCGGAGGCAAATACGTTCCATACGAAGGTAAGTGATGTACATGCATTTAGGCGAACATGGCCGGCCAAGGGTGTGTTGATACCAGAGCAAGTCGAGACGTTCCGTCTTTATTTCCTTTTTGAACGTTCTAAGGCGATCACTTGGAGGCTTCCCCGCCGCTGCTGTAAAAGGAGGTCGTTTGTAAGATCCAGATCGGTCGCTCCCTGCATCTCACTACTCTGAGATTGCATGGTAATCGTCAGGTGATCACTCCTAGTGGTGTGAGAAGAGTGAGCCTCATAGGCGGGTACAATGTCTGTTCATGTGCTACTAGAATTGTAGCATAGTACGAGGCATATATTAGCGTCAAAGGCTCAATGTGGAGATGCTGTATCGATTCTCCATTAACGTCACCGCTAGGAGGAGATTACACCCAGTTACTGCGGGCCTTCTCTCACGGCCGCAGTCTCGATCTTCCATCTTGACCATTCATCAGTAGTGTCATGGTTTTCTTCGTCATTTGCTTGAGCCTTTCAATCATTATACTGCTCATATGATCATCCGGTCACGGAGGTTACAAGAGTCTTGGTCTTGCGGTTCGCATCTGGAAAGGCGTCATGTAGACAGCCTTAGCTACGAGCCTCGGCTCAATGTATGGCGTGGGTGCTATTCATGTAATAAGCTGTTGCTCCAAAGTCAATACAGTCTGGCTTCTGGCGTAGCATGATTTGGCCTGTGTGGAACAGTCAAGTTCTAGACTGATTACTGATCGTGGGTGTTTGTGTGTGATGCCATGGTAACAGGCATGGCAAGATCTCCGTGCCGTGCAGGAATGTAATGGCACCGACGAATGCCATGTCGCTGCCATTGATAGTCATGGACTATCCACCACTCGTTGAAGAAGCCGATGCTTTAGATGCGCCAGATATGTTACAGTATACAAAAGGGTCTGCTCGTCTGCATGAAGAACGAAGATCTTATAACATAGCTCAAGGAAGATGACACGTCGGGATATTAATCCTTGTGTTTGTGTACCAGCCTAAAGAGAGGACAAAATAGCAGAGCGTGATATCTTAAGAGGCAACGAACGACTGCGATGCCAACAACTTAATAACCATCCGAATAGCGTCACACCACTATTGTATTGTATTGTAGCCTCTTTGTCAAGACGCTCACTTATACAACCTTCCTTTCTTTAATCTCGCTACCACAAACCCTTTCTCATCCTCCACATTCTTCAATACCTCATGGCCAACATCGTCCTCCGGTTTGGCATTCGCGATTTGCGCTTCCATCTTCCGCAGAAGACGGTTACGTTCCGAGCCGTCCAGGCCGCTACCTCCTTCTGGTACTTTGATGTAGGGGTTGTCGCGTGTCGAGGCGGACACGTATGTGAAATAATCAGGGGCTAATGTCGTAAAGGATATGAAGATGTTGGCAAGGCCCATGAGTAACAGTATCGTTGGGGTAAACAGTAAGGTTGCAATACATGGCGTACTTTTTTGGTAGATTGGGAAGTCGCTGGAAAAGACCGCTTCGGTTATGTTCATTTGCCATCCAGGGTTGTAGTCAATAAAGAGCCTGGTGTCAGGGAGATTGTAAGGATCCATGCGCATAATCTGGGGCGATCAAGTTCCGGCTTGCAACCAAGTATTCATCCTAAGGGTGAGCTGTTCTGATAGCAGGTCGTTTGTAGAATCATTAAGGTAGTAGATATCTGAAAGCAACTCAGAAAAGAAGGTGCCGGTAGTCTTTTCCACAGTGTCCATGAAATTCTTTACATTTCCAGTGTTTCTCATCATACACTGTAGACGGCTAACCACATACATGTCGCAGGTTTCTGGGGCGGGAAACATTGTAGGGTTACAGCGGACCTTTTCGACCTCGCACGTACTACCCTGACAGGATATCTCTGCGTCTACCTTGATAAGCTTTGGCTCACATTGATACGCTTTCACAGTATTGTTGTTCCAAATATCCGAATCCTCCAGTACGATCCCAAACTAGAAACTGACGGGCTGGTCATCGAGCTCTGAAGCGCTGGAATTGGAGCGTGTACCGTTCTCATTACCAAACCTGAAGAACGTATAATTTTCTCGCCACCAATCAAACTCATCAGGGGGACGATTGGGTTGCCATGGTAATGTGAGAGTCTTCTTGTAAGGCTCAGAAGCTGCGGTATTGACATCTGGATAAAGGGTGGGGAAATGCTCCATCAGCTCTTCGGCAATCTGGTTCTGGGTCTCTTGCAACCGCAGCTTACAATGCAGAGATGTATATTGATTTATCACGCTAGAAATTGTCCGTGAATCGTGTGCAAGGCCTTGGATGTTGATACCGGTTAGTGATGAGTAGTGTACCTTTGGAGGCACCGAACTCCATTTTGTCTCGGTCTGATCTGGTAGATCATCTTGTCTTTCCACCTCCATTATCCTTGGAATCTTGGGGTGGTTCCAAAAATCGACTAGACCAGTTTGAGTGCTGTTTGAAAATACTAGGCTAGCGGTGAGTATGGTCGCAGAATCATACTGAGGGAGGAAAGGGTCGGGATCTGCGTAATAGATAGTGCCGTTTGTGTTTGATATATCCTTACCCTCCTATGGGAGGCGCAATGAACTCTACCCAACTGGAGGAGACAGGGGCCAGAGAAGAAGAAGGAGGAGGATAGAGATAAAGTCAACAGATCGGAGACTGATGGCTGTACCGACGACCGACACGGGACCCTGACTACTAAGATATTCTTCGAGTACCTATTGAGCAGTGTATCAGTTAGTCATTGGTTCATGAATGAAGTGTGCCCACACCTACATTGGCGGTAGCTAGAGGAATTATTTCTACTGCCGTTCCTCGCTCCGCACATCTGACAGCGATGTTTCTTAACGAACCACTGCGGAGGGCAGCGAAGACGAGAGGGTATATAGTAGGACCCAGGTTCATTGCACCTTGAACAGTCTTTCCGCGTTGGGATAGAAGCTTTTGGTCAAGTTGCCACGCTATGGTCGCCAAAATTGCTTTGTGTTAAGGACGCATGTTTACATGTGACTCAAACTCGTACACTTACCGATGAACGCAATCGGTAACAAGAGCAAGAAACAATCGCCGATGAAATATAGGAGCGATATCCCTTTAAGTTGCTGGGGAAACTTTGGCCATCCCTGTACGAACACCTGCTCACTGACTTCCACTCCTGCATCACCTTTGACCCGGCCTAGTTCAGTCGGTCGATAAACGGTGTTACTTTAACAGCACCGTCTAACGAACGTGGGGAGTCACGACATTGTATGAATGACCAGAGATCAATAAACAGATGGAGATAGTTGCATCTACGATCAGGCTGGGGGCAGAGCCCTGAGTGTTAAGCGCTAATCCTCCCTCTGAGCCCGATCATGGCAGTAGAACATGAGAGGATACCGCTTACCAGATTGAATGCATGGCTTTTACGCCACAGTAACAAACCGATGCGACCGTTTGACTCGCTCGGAGCTAGATGTTCATCCAGTCTAGCGGACGCAAATTCGAAGAGAAGCTACCAGAATGAACAGCAGCCACTTTAGTTGAGAAGTGGATAGCAGCGTGAGATTGGATATCAACTTGTACGACTTAGTGGCTAAGCCCATAGTTGCAAAGTGACTTCGAGCGCCGTGTTGCGTGATTTAAGATACTTGGGGGCAGAAATGGCTACTGCTGCATGCATGCATGCATGCATGGCGTTGTACATCACCATGTGACGTTGGTAACTCTAGGTAAGGCGCAGCTCAAGATGCAGCGACTATCGGCTCTCCGCGGTATACGATCCGTGATGTGTCATCTAAGATCCTTCCTCTCGATTGCAGATAAGCCTTGATTAGGTGTCGAAAGCTAACGAGACTGTATATAAGTCTCAAATATCGACTGGTGACAAATGACACCAGCTATGTTTGCACTAAGTCGCGTCATCGACGCGTCAACATCCAACCGTCTCCTTTGCAGTTCGCAACGCCTTCATCTCTATTTGTGTCGTGTTGGCTACAGGCATTCACGAAGCGATGCAAAGCTACTCAGCATAGCGAATCTTCTTTCTCAGATTCAGCCTTGTCGCCTTCTTCCTCCCCGTGCGGTCGCCTTTTCATCGATTGCTTTGTTGCAGGGAAGTCTCCTACGGGGATTCCCTTACGTACGCTATTCAGCATATGTGATCGTACAATTCCTCATTATGACTCTTACCTGTTCTTCTTTTTTTGCTGTTCAAGCTTTTCGGCCGATTGGTTTGCGCGTTCACAGATAGCTTGGAGGAGCTCGATCCACTGTCATACGTCGGGAAAACTCATCCCAGATGCGCAATCTGCTGTAATCGCGACTCCCTTACGAAACTAATTCCTCTGCGGGAGACCTTTGAGTAAATGTGCGTGAACAAAGTGCTTGGCAACATCATCCAGCGCACTCTTTGCCCTGCGGCCGGGAATCTACCCATGGCCCAGGAAAAATAGAAATCAACGCAGTCGCTACTGGTAAAAAAAAGGTAACCATAAAGACTAGCGATCTTTTGTATCTGCTTCGTCTCGTCCGGTTGCTCCTTTTCATCCATGGCTGAAGGCGCAGGCCGCTGGTCGAACATCCTTCGGCGCAATGTCTGACCCCAAGAATCGGGTTCGGTTTCCAGCGTCAGTAGCTGTGGAAAAACTTGTAGTAGGCCGGCCCGCTCCAAAGTCTTGTACGATACCGCCATGAAATGTCCTTGAGAGTACTGTCACTTTTTCTTAGCCGCACTTCGTTCCTAGCATTCATACTCGACAGCAGACGTAAGCGTCAATCTTTCTATATTCCTCTCGATTTAGTGCGCTGACCGCATCCCTCCAATCTAAGCATCAGTTCCCTGGTACATATCCCCAACGCTAGTTTCCACCCTTACAGCATCCTCGTGGTAATGCGCACCCGCGCTTGTGAGAGTCGTATCCAGCTCCTCGAGACGCCTCAGATCCATGGGTGCAGCCAGCAACGGGATGACGTAAGGGTCGAAGGTCTTCCAGTAAGGGTTGTTCAGGTGGTATTGCTGAGACTGTGAGGAGTGTTAGTACGTTCCAATATCGACTGCCATGTCCCCAGTAGCATGATTGACGTTTGGTGGCTCGTGGAATCAAAGCGTCACGTGAAATTTCCTCTTCTGATCCCACATCGGCATCCGCAATCATAACCACCAACGACTTCCACAAACCCCTAAGAAAACAAAAAAGTGACATGGTTAAACTCACAGATTCCTTCAAGTACCGCTCGACAATAGTAAACTTCCTCTTATCGGCAGTATCCTGCATAACAAACCAGCTCAACGTCTCCTTGTCCTTGCTGTACACCTGACTGGCCTCGACAAGCTTTGCGCTCAGCTTATTAATGCTCTCCTGGTCTTCCTTGGCGAGGAGATGAACGACGATTGTGTAGACCATTTCGGCTGTGTTTGGTTCCCCTTCTTTTGTGTTAGGTGTTGTTTTGACGGTTGATGCTTAGAGCTTTTCGGCTCGTTTAGTAGATGAAGTCGTGTGTATATGTGTATATGTAGATGTAATACGGTAGGAAAGGAAAGAGAAAGCAAAAGAATCAACGTCTAAGAAACCACGAAAATTTCTTGGCTCGGGATTTTCTCTGCTCGGTGATGCTGTTTTTGCAGCCTAGTGACGTATCCACGCAGCGGAACCCCGCAGCTGAAAGTGGAGTCGGCGATCTGCATGCTTCCACGCTATAGCAATATAAGGACGGAAGGAGCCCGTAGCCGTCAAAAAAGGAAAGTAAGAGCATAGTGGGTGGTATGTAGTCATGCAAGGTAGTTCTGATAGCATAGTAAAGTAATGTAGGATGTGGGTTGAGAAACGACACTAGCAGAAATGCACGGAGACAAGATTTTGAACTTGAAGATCAATTACACATCAAGAGGAAAAAGAGGAAGGGTGCCTCCCAACACCCACCTGCTTCCTCATCGATTCAACCAACTAACTAACACCCTCTGGTAGCTAAAAAGGGAATATACGAAAATCACAGTCGCACCGTAGCAACGCTAAAGATACACACATACTATCGCCATCCCAATTTCCACCCAGAAAAGTTAACACCCCCAAATGCCATGCCATGCCGTAAGCGAATGAAAACGCGCAAACATTGATACATTCCACTACGCCCTGCTCAGCATCTTGAGTACCTCCTCTTTCTCGCTGGTAGGTAGTGTGCTGAGCAAGCTCATGACACCCTTGAGACCACCCTCGCGGTCCTTGCGCATAAGCTGAGCGATCTCGAGCGCAATACCGTCGGTCTTGAGTTGCTCAATCTTGTCGCTGACAAGTGGCCTGTTCTCCTCGTACCACGTCGCCACGCTCATGTCGTCTTGCTCCCAGTTGGGGATGTTGGACAGGTGCTTCAACATCTCGAAGCCGCGACTACGGGTAAGCGAGTTGGCCTGGGGGTTGTCGTGTGTCGGCGAGGCAGCAGCGGCGAACTTCTTGAGGATGTACTCCTCGTTGAGACGGCGGCGAAGGCGCCAGTAGAAGAAGCGGCGGGCGTTCTGCCATCGGAGGGCTTGTCGAATGACACCCTTAGCCTGCATGCGGCCGGCACGGTCGTGCAGATCAGCGAACTGAAGGGCGATTTGACCGTAGATAGGCAGAAGCTTCTTCTCGCGTTCAGTCATCTGGGCCTTGATGTCCTGGAGCTCGGCCTCTGGTGTCGCCTTGTCGTTGAGCTTACGCTTGAGAGCACCGTAGGTAGGGTCGTTGCGGGCCATTGTGTCAAGTTGACGTTCCCTACGGTACTTGATACCAACGATACCTTCGGGTTCCAGCACACCACCACGCGAATCCTCGTCGGCGTACATCTCCATGAATTGAGGGTTGATAGTAGGATCAACGACGACCCAGGACCCACCACGGAGCTCGCCGTATGGAGGAATATAGACGAAGATGGGCTGTTCAAACTTGACGAGTGCATCGACAATGTAAGAACCGTACTTGAGGACCTCGTTGTACATGTCACGCTGTCCACCAGAGAAACCACGCCAGTTGGCAAGGATCATCAGCGGCAGCTGCTCACCGTTGTTGAAGTCCTTGATAGCCTGAGCAGTCTTGAAGGCGGAATTAGGGTACCACACACCACCAGCCTCGGATGTGACTTGTTCGATAGAGTCGGGGTTGGCGGGGTCAGCAGGTGTGACGTTCTCGACCGAACGTGTCTCAACACCGATGACACCGATAGGAATGCCACCAAGGCGAGCACGACCGACAACGACAGTCTTAGCCCAACCACCAAGAGTCTCAACGAACGAACCGCGATCGAAAAGACCAGACTGGAAACCGTCTTCGTCCTCCTTTCCGGCGATGAGGTGCCTGACGTCGTAGGCAGACTTGCCAGGAGGGTAGTAGGTGATGTCACGGTCCCAGTTGTCGGCGGATGGCGAGATAGGGACGGGACTGCCCTTCTTGTCAGGTACGTAGGACAACCACTGGACAATCTTGGAAACACCCTCGAAGTCATCATCGGCAGTCGAGTGTGAAACACCGTTCCTGTACATGATCTGGGTACCACCGAGCTGAAGGTTGGAGGTGTAGACTTCACGACCAAGTAGCTTGTTGATGGCCTGCGCACCAGTAAGGATGATTGGCTGTCCTTCAATCTGGATGGCACGCTGACCAAGGCGGACAAGGTAGGCACCGATACCTGTGTATTGTTAGTAAATGGACATGTAAGTCAGGATGAAGATACATACCAACTGAGCGGCAAGTCACCAAAGTGATGGTGAAAATGTCCTCGTAAGCCCTTGAAGTCTCACCCGCGATGAGACCGGAGCCACGGAGCGACTCAACACCAAGACCATCCTCAGCACCAATGACAGTTGTGATCTTGAAGCGCTTCTCGCCATCGACCTCAACCGGCTCGCAGATGACATCGTTGCGCTTGCCATCAACAAAGTGCTCGTACTTCTCAGGTGTCAGGTAGAGGTAGTCGAAACCAGCCTCTGGCTTGTTGATGTCCTTCCATGCAACAGAGAAGTGAGGAATGAGCTCTTCAGCAAGACCGATACGAGCACCAGAGTTGGCAGAGAGGTAGATTCGCGGAATGCCGAGCTTTCGTGCAAGCTCAGAGCACTTGTGGAAGAAAGCATCTTCCGCTGGACCGAATGAACCAATCTTGAAAGTGATGTCGTTGGCGATGATGATGAAGCGACGACCACGGGGGTATTCAGGTGTCTTCGCAGTGACCATCCAACCTACCATACCAATGTTGTTGTGGCCAGGGTCACGGTTGACCTCAGCCAGGTTGTCAGTGTCATCAAGCACCAACTCGTAGTACTCGAGGCACTCTCCCTTCGCTGGCTGCCTGTCCCGGAGGAAAGAGTGCTTCTTGATAGCCTCAATCCAGCTGTTCTCGGTGGCCTGGCGGAAAAGCTCAGGGAAGTCGTACACGTACTGAGTACCCATAAGATGAGCCTTGTACCTCTTGGGCTGCAGAGCTCCCTTGGTAGGGTAAGGAGTCGACACGGGCTGGAGGTGAAGGGCACCAATCTTGGTGGTTCCACCAATGCTGTGGAAGAGCCACTTGCCAGCCTTCTCGGATTTGCGCTCAGCGTACATCTCGACCTGAATAACGTATCCAGAGGTGTTGGTGATGATAACGCGAAGAGGGTAGGGGATGCCAGTCGCAGGGTCGGTGACAATGATACGGATCTCAGCGCCAGTGACACGGAGACGCCAGAGTCGTCGACCGAAGCGCTCCAAGAAGCCGCCAATAGCCTCCTCAACCTCAGTAGGGTTAAGAGGGAAGACATGCGAGAAATTGATGAAGATGTGGTTCATGTCGGCCTGCGAAGTGCCAACAATCTCCAGAGCATCCAAGATGTCAGTCATCAGCCTGTCAGTCTCAGAGACCATGTACTCCGCTGTAGGAATCTCCTCGCGAAGACGGCCTGATCGGACGACAGCCCTCAAGAAGTAGCGCTTGTCGCTCTCGGCGCCCTTGCCAACAGCCTCGTAGATGTGGATGTTGCGGTTCTCGGTGAAGACGGGCTTGATGTCGAACTTGGAAAGTCTGCCAAGCTCAAGTTGGAAGGCAAGAGCAGGCTCGACGTGACGGATACTGGCATCTTCCTCGTATGTAGGTCCACGGAAAGTGTAGTAGCCAGGGTAGGTTCCGTCCTTGTGGCCACAGATGAAAGAAATGCGGCGGATGCGACGAGACAAAAGCTCCTGCTTGAAGTCATCGACGATAGGGAGGATGCGGTCCAAGATCTCCTTGTCATCAGTGCCTTCAATGTCGCGGACAGCGATGTTCAGAACACCAGTGAGCTCGTCACTGTGCTTAGGCTCGTTGATGCCAGTAGTAGGAGTGCGCTTCATGGTAAGACCCTCCCTCAAACCGATACCACCCTTCTTCTCCTTACCAAGGTTGGGGAAGATGTCCAGCGCCTTGCTGATGAGCTCGTCCGCATCATCAAGGTACTCGACAGGGACGACAACACCCTTCCTTGTAGGCTCGCCCTCGAATCGGTTTTGCCAAGCAGTCATGTCGCTCAATGACTGAATGCGAGGAGGACGCTCGAATCCTGGTGTGCTAGGGGTACCAGGCTCAGAAGGCTCAACAGCGAGACCGTACTCCGCCTCACCAACCTTGCGCAAGATGAAATCCCAAGACAGGAAGCATTGCTGCTCGCCTTCGTTGTGGTAGTTGATGTTTTGCAGTTGGTACGCGCGGTAAGCTCGGCGAGTGTATACCTCAAGCGCAGCGAGAGCGACGTATGGGTCCGCGTGGACAAAGAACTGGGTCAACACGTCGAATACAGTGTACCTAGAGTCAACAACTTCCTTGATGACTTCGAAGTTGGGCTCACGGTGGTCCCATCCGCTCTCGCCATAGCGAGACTCAACGACGGAAGATCGCAAGATGTGCTCCATCTGCGCAGTACGCTCCTCAAGCGAAGGCATAGCGCACTGAATCAGCACTTCACGGGCCTTGAGAGAGACCTTGGCAGTCTGTCTGGATTCGAGCTCTGTGAGCTTCTTGAGGGTATCCTTAAAGTACTTGGCGATGTTTCCGACACCAGGCTTGTTGGGTCGGTAGAGCTCAAGGATGGCAATGACGAGGTTGTTCTTCGCACCGACCTTAGCGTGAGAGAGAACAGTCTGCACGACGCTCATGATGTTGTCGCGGTTCTCGTCACGGAGCTTGAGGATGACCTCTTCGTCACGCGATGTGCGAGAAGAGAAGAGAGACTCAACAGACCAGTACATCTCCAAGAGCCTGATCATGACACTGTACTCGTGCGCCTTGAGGCCCTCTGAGTAGCGGGTAATGACATCAGCAAGAGGCTCCAATGCAGCCTTCAGAAGGGCAACGTCACCCTTGGCCACGTTCTCCTCGACGAACTTCTGGAAAGCCTTGTTGAGGGCCTTTCCAGGGAACTCGAGGT